TGTAACCTTGTATAGTGTACGGCCAGATACACGCGAAACAACCCAGTACAATTAATAATACGTTCAATATTACGCCAAACTTAGGTTTCTTATGCAAACTGTAAATTAATACCGGTGCTAATATGGACAGGTGTATATAAACGCACAGGTAGTAGGCATATGGAGCGCACTTAACAATAATTGTATAATTTAATAATTAAATTTTTATATAAGGCAAAATTATGCTAGAATATTATATATAGTAAACATACCATGTTAAGAATATTCCTATTAAATAGCCTATAGTTTTGAATGTGAAGAATATAATTGTCGAAAAAGTTGTCACAATTTTGAATGTAATTCATTTGACCGAATCGTTTCCAATGAGGTCCCTCTCCTATGGTGTCCAATATGTGCACTATTATCAGGTGTCCGATCATTACCAGGGTAGTTTTGAGGTATATTTTTAATACGTGTGTTATGTAATTAAATTTGCTACTATCCCGGCTTAGTTTGTTTAGTATGGAGTAGGAGGTGAGGAAACCACTGTTAATAAATTAAAATATAAATCAATTATATAATAAACAACATTGAATATTCATATAGGCTGTTGAATTACAGTTTTAATTATTATATTAAGTTTATATTTTCATAAAACTTCAAATAATATTTATTATAATTTATAAATTGTTTAGAATTGAGTTAAAATAATGGATATTTAAATATTTAAGCAAATTATAAAATCTAAAATAAAATTTCAAATTATCTTAAATTAATCATAAATTTGAGATGATTTGAAATTTTATTTTAGATTTTATAATTTACTAAAATATTTAAATACAATGTACTGTATATGCTTAAATAAAATTAATATTTAAAATTCTTATTTATAAAATAATGTATTTGAGATACATGTATTAAAAATTATTAGTTGCAAAATAGATTTTAAATTTTAAAAATTAATATATATGATAAAATATGCCATAATGAATATAAAACTTAATTTTTAAAAAGTGAATAAAAACTTTACAGAATATTAATTACAGCTTATAAATAAATTATAAATAAAAGTATTTAATATGCTTTCTATTCATAATAAGTAAATATTTACTATTAAAAAATGCATACGTTATAACGGTGAACATCTCGACCATATAACCCTGGTGCAAGTAGAAATACAGGGAATTCCTCCACATGTCGTTCA